TGCAAGGCAAATCTTTGTTTACCTTTCAGCATGTCAATCATCCTTCAGTCTCTCTCTCTGTGCTGACCTGTTTACTCTCAAAATAAATCGACACGAACAAAACATAGTTGGTGTGTTGTCTAGTTCTGCAGTCAATAATCTCTTCTCTCTCTGAGCATTTGGTCACAGATGTGAAAAATTAATATAACATCGATTTAACACACTATACCTTGGTTTTGAGCATGATGGGTTCGGCTGCTCTGTAGGCAGGGCCGGCTCCAGGCACCAGCCCACCAAGCATGTGCTTGGGGCGGCACCTGGAGGGGGGCGGCGCGGCGCTCCGGCCCGAGAGCGGGACCGCGACTGGGCTCGCCGCCCTCCCCGCGGCGCTCTGGCCGCCGGAGAGAGCTGAGCCACGGTGGGCTCTCCACCCTCCTCCCGGCGCTCTGGCCGCAGGGGAGAGCAGAGCCATGGCAGGCTCGCCACCCTCCCCCCGGCGCTCTGGCCACCGGGGAGAGCGGAGCCCCGGCCAGGCTCGGTGCCCTCCCCTGCCACGCTCCGAGGGGGAGGGGGGGATGGCGGGAGGCTTTTTTGCCTCGGGTGGCAAAAAAGCCAGAGCCGGCCCTGTCTGTAGGCTTCTGCCCTTGAAGCTCTGTGAAACAGCTGTGCAACTCTCTTCCTTCACTTTCCATTGGAAAGCCTGATTAATAAACCACTGTGAATTTCAGAGCAAGGGGCTTATTCATCAGAACCTAAAGCTGGGGCAGTCCTTGGCTCTCAGCCAAATATAAAAAGTAAAGAAAATGAAGCTGCAGATTTATAATTGTTTCCTTTGTCACTTACACATTATGAGCTGGATGCCCAGTGGGTGTAAACTGGTGTAGCTTCATTAAAGTCAGTGGATCTATGCCAGTTTACACGAGCTGAGGATCTGGCCCTATATTCACTTGTCACGAGATGATGGAAACAGCGGTGTGCCATTTTTGAATATGTTTATTGCATTCTTTATTTGCATTGGGTTTAGGCTGTCACTGTGCGTAATAAAACATGACTACATTATGGTTAGTGGTAATAGTGCAAATTTTGGGGAATGGCTTTTATTTTGATCAATATTTCAATTAAGTTATTAACAGCTGGGGAATGCAGATCATGCAGAGCCTTGAGACTGAGATAGGTGAAGAAAGGAACATAGCCAATTGCTGATTGATGCTTTATAGGACTGTAATACAGGAAGTTTTTCTTCTGAGACAGAAATGTTGGATCTGTCTCTTAGGGATTTATTTTGCTAGTACCAATGGGAAACAGCTGGGCTGGTTGCCTGGAGAAACAGAGAAAGAAAGCTAGTCAGGATGTTCATGGTGATTTAAGGTGGATGCTGATTAGTGATTAACATTTGTCTGAATAATAAAAAAAAACAGGCTGGGATTAGTTGCTTCTCTATTTCTCTGTTGCATCTTTATAAAAAGAGCTGCGGTATATAACCTAAGGCTGGGAATTTTCCCATAGAGATTGGCTTATTTCATTGCAAAGAAGAAAGCAGTCCCCTGGAGAGGCAAAGATGTGCAGCGTGATATTGCAAATGTTAGAAATTCTGCACTGGGGACATCTGTGTCAGTGAATTATTGAGAGACAAAACTCCATCTCTGAAATATACGTGAGAAAGGCTGTCTCAGCTCTGGAGGTGTTGGTGTGACTTGCTAGTCTTGGAGTCAGGTTCAGCCTACAACATTGCTCCTGGTCTGGACCAAAATATGAGTGACTTTCCATAGTCCTCTTCCTCAAATTCAGTTTGAGAGAGTCTGCCATGCCTTACATGAAGGGATGGCTTACTCCTGCTAATTAATCAATCATGCTTTAACAAATAAATGCCTATATAGTTTGCATGATCAAGGATGTATGAACTCCAAAGAAATATTGTTTATTGGACTTCATGGTAAATCAGATGAAATTATATATTTGTTTTCCTTTACTGCTGTGAATATAAGTTCCATGTTTTGAAACCTTTACTCTGAATTTCCTAACTTTTTAATGGTTGGGATTTTTTTTTTTGGCCAACTGCAACGTCCTTCCAAGGATTAGACAACCCTTAGTTATACAGTCTCCACACCTTAACTTCCCTATAACAAAGTTTTCTTCAAGGAAATAGTATTAGTGGTAGACTCTGATGGTTTCATAACTATGTAAAGAATGGATGCAAGGAATAAAATGCTAAGGGTATTCTTGAAAATCCCTAACTTGGTATAAGGAAAGAGTTTGTTTCTGAAGCAGAATCAGAGGAGAACTCTTTAAGTTGTGCATATATTGCTGATGAGTTTGCAGACTGGCTGGTCTCTGGAATAAGGATCTATCTGATATTTGTATGGCAGGTTTGGTGACTTTGGAATGGAAGTTCCACCAACAGAGAATCTGATGATGCCAGGACTTCTTTCTGTGTCTAAGCCAGAGGCACTAATCTGTTTAGGACAGAACTTGACAAGTTCACTTAACATTTAGAGTGCCAAGGATTAAGATGAAAAATACCCATGACATCGCCCAACCCAAGGCTCTGCCCCCTGAAATGTAAAGAAATAAAACTACTCTGCACTGGATTTGACTGCCACATATTGTCAGCCAACTCTAATAGCAGAACTGACCATATTCCCTGTGCTTTTTTCATACCTTCTTTCTTTCCTGGCTTATTCTACTATATCCTCTCTGTCCTTTCCAGCAATTGAACACGGTGTATCTTTTCCTGCATTATTTTCTATATTTGTTTCTTCTTTTCTTTCTCTCCTGCTGCAGCCCCATATGTCTGTTCCTTCTTTCTCTCCCTAAATTGTGTTCTCTACCTTCATCCCTGCCTTCTGCACTTCTCCCCCAAATCAGTCAGTCATTGGGGAGTGGCCCTGACGTACACACTGTATTTAGCATATGGCCATGGCAGATGCCCTTGGTCTTGTAGTGTTAAATCACCATGGAAAACGGTTACAGTATGCTGGCCATAGTCACACAGCACTTAAAATAGAAAAGAGTGACACCTTGGTAGGGTTAAGTTCAGATATTTGTTTGATACCATGCTATAAAGACTCAGCTATGTATCCCGGATACACAAGAGATCTAATAGAGATGGGAGTAGCTTTATATAGCATTCATACACTAGCTTTCCATAAGGCACTCCAGTACTGCAATGATGGGGTTCATAAAGAGAGAGATTTAACCTAGTTCCTTTTTCTGATCCACCTGGGGTAAAAGTCTTCTTCTCAGAAAGGGATGCAATAGAGAATCCACCCAAATAGTCTTCGATAATAGGAGGAAATGGAGGGCCAGATTGTCATCTGGTTAAATTGATACAGCTCCATTGATGTATGCAGTGTAGTTGTAGCTGTGTCAGTCTCAGGCTATTAGAGGACAAGGTAAGTGAGGTAATAGCTTTTATTGGACCAACTTCTGTTGGTGAGATAGACAAGTTTTGGAGGCACACAGAGATTTTATTCAGGTCTGGAAGGTAACAAACCTGCACAACACTTTCAAAAGATGGTCCTGGAAGCTGAAATTCATAACTCTGCTAGACACTAAAAAACATGGACTGAACAGAGACACTGGATTTATGGCTTATTACAACAATCTATAATCCACCAACCCCCTTCTTTGTCCTATGACTGCACTGGTGTTAACGGGCCACTCTACCTTGAATGGTCCCTTACAAGATGTTCTAACTGCTTATGCTAAACAATCTGTTCCACTTTGCATTTAGTTGTGATGTTCGGAGTACCTTTCTCAGACCCGAAGAAGATCTCTGTTGTCTCTCTCTGGTCTGGTCTACATTACAGACCTATATCAGTATCACTGTGTCACTCTGGGGTATGAGAAATCCACATCCCCGAATGATGTAGGTATACTGACCTAAGCCCCCGTGTAGACAGCGGTATGTCGGGGGGAGAAACTTTCCTGCCAACGTAGTTACCACCTCTCAGGTAGGTGGATTAACTACACCGACAGGAGAGCTCTCTCCTATTGGCATAAAGCGTCTTCAATAAAGCACTACAGTGGCGCAGCTGCATCGGTGCAGCTGTGCCAATGTAGCATTTTAAATGTAGATGTGACCTCACCCACAGAAGTTGGTTCAATCAAAGATATTACCTCAGCCATCTTGTCTCTCTATAGCTCCACTAAACTCTAAAAGAGCTATACTCATTTAAACCAGCTGAGGTTCTGGCCTGAGGTTTCAAAAGCTAGTGAAGCTCCCTGCCTATTGTTGCAGATCAGGGTTCTCAAACTTTTTCAGCACATGAACCAAATTTTAGTAGGTAGACTTTGTGGACACCTCCCTCTTATTCAAGACTGCGCGGGCTGCCCCGCCTCCCATGTAACATCCTTCTGGAAACTAGAACAATTCCTTACATGGATGAGTAACCCTAGGACAGAATTTAACATATTTTGAGCTGTCCTTTAATGAGATTTAGCAGATGGAAACAAGATGATGGACCAACACCAGGTGACCCACCAGCAAGTGGATCACCAGTGTCTGCAGACCACAGTGTGAGACCTACTATTACAGATGATGAGCCTTACAGAGAAATAGAAATGAAGTTTAGCGATAGAGGCAGAGCAGACTTTCCTTTGGATTGGAGAAGTCTCTCATTTTAAATGTTTTATATCAGTGCCAATTAGGTGAATGACTACGCAAAAGTCAGATAGGTCACCTTCATTATAGACTGGTGGAAACTCCTCTGACTCACAGTATGGGTCAGAACTGGCCTGCTCTCAATTTTTTATGAATTCCCATAATTAGAACAGCAGAGCCCAGGTAAACAGCAGTTCCAAATGATCGCACTGTTTATGTGTCAATAGAGTAGTGGGCTATGGTAGGGCCCAGTACACAGAAGTCTGGTGGAAGGGGAAGATAGTAAAGAGGGGAAAAGGATCCCATCTTTTAGTAGCTGGATTGCCAGAGTAGGGCTGAGGTGAATCTGCAGAGATCAGATTTTTTTCATATTTGACTTTTTTCTTCTGATTGGGTTCTTCCTTGTTTTGTTCTGTAGGGGCCTGGTGTTTGCTTGGAACTCCCACAGGTCCAGCTGACTGGGAGTAGGAGGGTTTTGATAACCTGTACATCACTAGTGCGAAGAATACAGTGGCAGGACTACTGCACTCATGTAATCCAGAAGCAAAGACTGCTCCGAGAGTGACAAGCTGGAAGCAGGAGGCCGATTGACAAGATGATTGCCCACTACAGCATCAGTGTAAATATTAAAATGCTCCAGGAGCAAATGTTTGAAGTTGAGGTCAAGTGTTTAAAGGCACCAGTCACAGTGGCCCAGAGGGTTTGTACATCTGGCCATCTCATAGAACGCTTCCTAGATTTTAAAAAAATCAGAACCGTAGGCTTGTCATACTCAATGAAGCCAACTGACAGTGACAGTGTCTCTCTTTGTCTCTCCCCATTGTGCTAGGCACTGTACAAACACAGAACCCAAAGATGTCTCCTGCCCCAAACAGTTCACAATCTACGTATAGAGACAACAGCCGGGGGGGGACGCAAGGAAACAGTGAGAAAATACATTCAGTCAGCATGATAAGCAATGATCACCGCACAGATGATGCTAAAGAAGGAATAAAATCCAGCTCCCTTTTCTATAGCTCTCTTGGTTCTGTAGGGTGAGCAGGGGTAAAGAGCAGTAAAATGTCCCCATAGCAGTGAGATCTGACTCTGAATGCAGAGGGTGTGGCTCTGTAGAGAAAGGAGGTGCCGGTTTCCATAGTTGCTTGCATTGTTCAGAGTACATAGGGCAGAATAGAACTGCACTCTAAATATTATTTAGACTGAGATTAATATTGAATTTTTCTTTTCATTCCTTTCTGTGTCCACATTACAGGCACTAGAATCAAGTTTATAGCCATTGCTGGCAGCCTTAGCAGAGAGGCAGAGGCCTGAATTAACATGGCAGAGATGGCCCTTCCAGCTCAGGCCGGCAACTGAGTGAGGGGAAGCAAACATTGCTGTTGTCCATGCTGTAGTTGTTCGATGGCAAGACAGGTCTCTATTTCCATTGCAATGCGTCTAGCAATGTCCACAAGCATTACATTCTCTCTGGCACTCGAACCCACACAGTTAATTAAAACTGGGCTATTAATTTGGGTCAGACAAAACAAGTATCTCAAAACAGAATTTAATTTAGACTTGAGAAGACAGTTACTTAAGTACTAGCTAGCCCAGCAAATGTTTAGCCCTCTCAAAAGTTGCAGGATTGATCACTGTGGATGCCCTGGTCTTCTTTCCACGCAATGAATTCCAATGAATCTTGAACAATGAGCTGTTTGTTTTTCCAAGATTTTGATCATTGAAAGTTTTCAGCCAGTTCTGTAGCTGTTTTTTTCTCCACCATTGAAAATCAAATTTTGAGAGAGAATTAACTTACAACTTAAGGAATTGCAGTCCCTAATTATTTAAGATGACATTGCACCAGGCTGTATTTCCTTTACTGCTGTAAGTCCATAGCCAAGGTGACACGGTAAGGAATTTTTCCGCAAGATGCTTCAGCACAACAGTTTGATATACAACAACCCATTAAAAGGCCCATTATTTATGGAGGAAAGTTTGCAGTGCAATTTCTCATGTTACGTCCATATAAATTATATCTGTTTGCAGTTCCTCAGGCCCCTCGGTCCCTGTGTATAAGTAGGTTTCTTATGTACAGTTTGCACCAAAGCATGCACTCCAAACAGAAGGAGTGAGCTGAAACACAGGTGAACAGTAACCTAGATAGTGACATTCTTCAGATGTTTTATGCAATCCTGTAGTTTGTCATTCAATAACGTGCACTATAGCAAGTGGCAAATCCCCTGGGGATGGCAGAATGTCACCGCTTAGCTGCTGACTCCATTAAAATGACTCGCAAACTGTTATTCCATGCAATGCAAACACATGTATTTTGGGTGTAGGGTGGGAAAATGTACAGATATACTTGCTCCTTAAGGACACTCTGGAGCTCACCTTTGGACACTGTTTCATCTTTATTTTCTTACATTTCTGTATAAATGGTAGACATGAAGGGGCTATAGCTGCTACTGAAGAGAATGTGTTGCATTAAGGGCCATCTAAAGAGGGAGTTGTTTACTCTGCACTACCATTTGGCTGTCAACACAATCTAGTCTCAATTACCTTGCCATTACAATCCTTCTGTAACATTTATCTATCTATATACTTATAAAGTCCTCATCCCCATAGTATCCAAGCACCTCTTAATTATGAATGGATTTAATTGAAGAAGGGAAGTATTATCCTTAATTTGCAGATGGGGAAATGTTACACATGGTAAATTAAGTGACTTGCCTAAGGTCTCACAAGAAGTTTGTAGCAGAGTCAGGAATGGACTCCAGCTCTCTTAAATCCTAATCCAATGCCCTGTCTATTAAAGCATCCTCTGAAAACTTCTGTAAGTAATCAGGAATGTTCCTTACACATGGGCATGATTGCTGCACAGAGCTCCTTGTACTCTGGCACCTGATCCAAGCCACATGAAGTCAAGAAGAAGACTTGCTCTGACTGCAGATCAGGCCCCTTTCCACCTCATGTGAGCACAATTTACCATCTAGTTTCATAATTTATATTTTTTCCATTAGGAATGCGAGCAGTTATTAGTAACCTTTTAGACTGTAGCATGTGCCTGACATTTTGACAGCTTGTGTGTGTGTGGGTTTTTTTTCTTTTCTTTTTTTTTTTTTAAGGAAACTGGGGTCTCTGCATACTGTCAATTCAGATCTTCATCAGGAGCTTTTCTAATGCTCACCCTAGACTCATGAGCCTGATTAACTTTCAAGTAACTTTAATTTTTTTTCATTTTACTTTTAAATAACTTGTCAGGCAAACTTTCGCAAGTTGGCAAATCTGTGCTTTTAAGCTATAAAGGAAGGTTCGGTGATCTCTAGATTTCTTTTCATGGGCATGTCACAGCCAGAGAACAAACATTTACAGATTTGTATTGTTTGTTTTCCCTCCCCGTCTCACAAACCAGCAGGAACATGTTATTTTATGAACTGCTATTTATACAAGTTTTGGCAGAGGATCAAAGGATATCTTTAAACTATCTTTATTTGTAGCTCACTTGGGATGGAATATAAAGTTTGGGGCAACAGCTAAACCCTGGAGCCTCTTTCAGGATGTAGGGGGGGGGGAAATCAATCAGAATTGAAGGGTAAGAAAGAGAATCCTGGCTATAATTATTATGAATTATAATGGTGCTTTCATATAGCTGGAGCGAAGACTTGTGTCAGCACTTCACACATCCACTACTGCATTCATGGTTCTGGAACTATGGGCTGTTTCAGGTGCAAAGACAGAAGATGACTATAACATTTAAGAAGAAATTAGTTTGCAAATTGTAACTTATGAATGAAAGGAAATAATCATTTGAATACGACTTGCTCCAAGGTTGTGGAACTATTCAAAACAAACTTTGTTTTAAAAAAAAAACGTTGGCAAGATTAAAAAAAACAAAACATGCCTTTAACACATCCCAGGGCGTGCTTTTTTCTTGGTTGATACATGTCTTAGTTGTATGAGGAGACACAAACAGTAGTAGACATTTTTGGCCTCTGTCCACCATAGGTTTTAAGAACACACTTTACTTTAAGCACATGGATAATCCCATTGGAGTAAGCACGGGAGTAGACTCTTATTCAAAGTAAAACATGTGCTGAAAAGCTTTGCTAGATTGAGGCCTTAACCACCCTAAGGCATATATTAATAGAGAAAGAAATACACCTGGATTGCTTAATACTATTAGAATACTGCGTGCTGTTACATTATTAAAAAGTTCTTTGAAACAAGAACATTTTTGCACATATAACATGCTACCTTATGGATATTTCTAAAATGCACCAGACACCTTATAATAGTATGAAAACATTCCAGAATGTCTTCTTTCTCCACTTAATACACGCCATGTGTGGCTGAAAGTGGTGGAGGGGCTATTATGGAAGACTCATAGGCTTTGAGGCCAGAAGGAATCATAATGATCATCCAGCCTGACCTTTGACGTAACACTTGCCATAGCATGTCCCCCAGCAATTCCCGCATCTAGCCCAACAACTTGTGGTGGAACTAGAGCATGTCTTCCAGTATCAACTTCCCTACCAGTGACAAGTTCATGCTGTACATTCTGTCTTTCTCCAGCTGTGACATTTACGTTGGATCCCTACTTGTCATGTCCAGATGTTTCGGATACTCTCTCCTCCACCTTTTTCCACAATGTGTTCCTGATCCTGCAGACCCTAACGCATGTACTGAAGTGAACTCGTGCAGGAAGTAATAACCAAGTCAATAAACATTTCCAGGACTGGGGCCTTGGAGAGCAGCCCAGCCTTTGGTGAATAGCGCCTCTCTAGTTTAGTTCTTTGTATTCAGGGGTCTAAATATGGATTGAAGTGCCTGGCCTTGAGGCACCCAGATCTGAAGATTCTGTCTGACCCAAGGTTATAGGTGAAGGGCTGAATCCCTGGCCCCTCTTTCAGCTGCTCTGTGGGGCTCGTATAGGGAAGAGCAGCCAGAAAGCTGCCCAAACAAGGCAGCCAACTATTCCCCTTGATACTGGGGAAGCCTTGAATGACACAAAGCCAGCATAGGCAGCTCTGTGCCACCCTGCAAAGCTCCAAATAGCGAGGGAAAAGAACAGAGCACGTCAGGGGATGGTTGGGTCAAGTGCATGGCCCTCTGCCAGACTCTGGGCTAGTGCAGCAGCTGGCTGTAGCCAAAGAAAGGCTGCTCTAAGTTTTGCTGGATGTAGTTCTGGTCCACGGCTGGTCCAGGACTGAGAGAGCAGAAAGGAGGCATGTTTCAAAGGGTCAAGTGGCAGCTCCTGTCCCATGGGGCTGCCTGGACTCATCTACCTGCTCCAGGCCCTGCAACCCCTGGGGTCCCAGCACCACTGAGGGTTAGCCCAGCTGTCATGATGACAGGAGTCTGGGTAGACCAAATTTGAGTGAGTGGCACGGCAACCCCACCCGGGGGGAGTAGCATCCAACCGAAACTACCCCAGAGCCTCCACCCCCAGACCATTTACTGGGTCATGACAGGCCATAAACATTTACAAATAGGTCCTGATCCCAAAAAGGTTGAGAACCATAGTTTAGACCAGGGGTGGGCAAACTATGGCCTACGGGCCGAAACAAGCTGTTTTAAGCCGGCCTGTGAGTTCCTGCTGGGGAGCGGGGTCTGGGGCTTGCCCTGCTCTGGTGCTCCAGCTGGGGCGCAGGGTCGGGGTCGCACCGCATGGCTCCCTGAAGTCGCAACATGGCCCTGATCAGGCTCCTATGCACTCCAATTGCCCCCTCCAGCGCTCCAATGGGAGCTGCAGGGGCGGTGCCTGCGGACGGGGCAGCGTGCAGAGTCACCTGGCCGCGCCTCCGCATAGGAGCCAGAGAAGGGACATGCTGTTGCTTCTGGGAGCCACTTGAGATAAGCGCCGCTCGGAGCCTGCACCCCTGAGCCTCTCCCCACGCCCAAACTCCATGCCCCAGCCCTGATCCCTCTTCCGCCCTCCAAATCCCTCGATCCCAGCCCGGAGCACCCTTCTGCACCCTAAACCTCTCACCCCAGCCCCACCCCAGGGCATGTACCCCCAGCTGGAGCCTGCAACCCTTCCCACACCCCAACCCCCTGCCCCAGCCCAGAGTCCCCTCCTGCATCCCAACCCCAATTTTGTGAGCATTCATGGCCCACCAAACAATTTCTATTCCCAGATGTGGCCCTCGGGCCAAAACGTTTGCCCACCCTTGGGGTACGTCTATACTTACTTCCTGGTCCGGATGTAAGCGATCGATCTTCTGGGATCGATTTATCGCGTCTTGTCTAGACGCGATAAATCGAACCCGGATCGATCCCGGAAGTGCTTGCCGTCGATGCCGGTACTCCAGCTCAGCGAGAGGAGTACGCGGCATCAACGGGGGAGCCTCCCTGCCGTGTCTGGACCCGCGGTAAGTTCGGACTAAGGTACTTTGAATTCAGCGACGTTATTAACGTAGCTGAATTTGCGTACCTTAGTCCGAAGTGGGGGGTTAGTGTGGACCAGGCCTTAGTTTAGACAAACAGCTTGTGGCAAGCTGAGGTGACTTTCACTAGCCTGCCATACACTGGCTCTGTCCTAACTGCTCCCATTTCAAAGTAGAACAGAGAACTTTCCGTGCATGGCAGCAGGGCCCACATGGAGTGTTAATGCACAGCAGGTGAGTGTGAGGTAGATTTACACCCCAGCTTTGAGTGCGCTTTTTGTCTCAATAAGCCCTTGGAGTCAGTGCCGCCCCCCCTCAGCTGTGCCAGGATTGAGCCCAGAGTATGCAGCAGAGCTGGGAGCAGAACCTAACCCCCCTTACGCCAATGCCTGTGCCTCAAGCATCTTCCCTTCCTTAGTCTGTGGCAGGAAAGATTTGGGATGTTGTTTATTTTCAGAACCCGTTTGCCCGTCACAACTCTCTTCTCCGGTCTTCCCTCCCCTGAGTAGTAGCCATGGGCATTTTCTTTGCAGGCTGGCCTTCAGTGTCACACCTCACTCAAGCAGTCAACTCAAGCTGCCCAAATCCACTGCCGTTGGAGGCATACAGCGCTCCAGATTCTCAGCGAGAAGCCAAGTTAGCAATGCTGAAAATATACTTGAACTGAGCTTTGTATGTGGGTCATGTAGCTGCCAAACACCCCCCCCCCCCATTCAACTGAAGCAGCTATTGAATTTGCTTCTCTAAGAAAAAAAGAGACAGCAGCATGCAGAGTGACACTAATTGTTAGGCAGCACCCAGAGACTATAATGTACTTCTGCAAATTAGCTGGGTACATTTTTTAATTTTTTTTTGCTATTTTGTAATGTCTTTTTGGGGAGGCATGGGAAAGCTTAGCGAGGTGAATGCATAATTTAGGAAAATCTGCAACGGTAGCTCTAGCAGGAGAATTTTTTTTCAGCAGGATGGTATCTGCAGTTAGGCACTGAGGGGGGAAATATTAATGAATTCTTCTATTTGTTAGGCTACCCTGTCCCCTTAAAAGAAGAGCCGCATGTATTTCATATCCCACCAGCCACTCTTTCCTGAACACTATGCTCAGCAATGATGAGAAGGAAGATGGTGATGACGCTGAACCATACAAATGCTCTGTCTTGCAAATAGTCATAGAAGGTAGGAAACTCAACAGGGGGATTTGCTATATAGCGTGACCGCAAATGCACAGACCGTCTCTCAGAATCACTAGTTACCTTTACAAGAAGAAGCCAACAAGCTGGAAAACCATGGGTTCTCGTTGGGATTGGCTGATATGGCAAGCCCACTGAGGCTGTTCACAAGACAACATGACGGGAGGGATAGCTCAGTGGTTTGAGCAGTGGCCTGCTAAATCCAGGGTTGTGAGTTCAATCCATGAGGGGGCCACTTAGGGATCTGGGGCAAAATCAGTACTTGGTCCTGCTAGTGAAGGCAGGGGGCTGGACTCGATGCCCTTTCAAGGTCCCTTCCAGTTCTAGAAGATCTCCATTAATTTATTTATAACGTGAACGCACTACTTTGGCCGACATGAGCCAGCTAACACATGGCCAGAGGGCTTCTGTTGAACTGCATCGCTCACACACACACTAACTTCTGGCCAGAGGAAAGATGGCGGAATGATAAAAGATCTGTTCTCTATTTCCAGCTTTGGCCTAGAGTGGAGGCAA